CCCCACAAACAGATCTTTGAATGTAAACACAACAAAATAGCAGAATGGGCGATTTGTAATGAACATCTGGCCTTCTAACTGAGTATAGTATTTGCGGGTTTTCTTTAGGCCCAAATTCGTGCACGAGATACACATTCCAAAAGGGGAAATCAGGTCCGGGTCCGACTGTCATGTGTCTGGAATGGTTTTGGACACAACAATGATTCATACATTTTGTTTATATACTTCTTCTCTGTAGCTGCAATTATCTCTCCAAATCTGGAAGCAGTGATCCGCCATTGTCTCTCCTTGTGTCAGATTGCGCTCTTTCCTTGTTATAACTTGCTATGCTCAGTGTTCGCTGTTTGTTCCTCAACCTGAAATATTCATATCCCATTAAAGCATGGTAGATGGTTACAGCATTAAATAGTTTAGATACAATATTATAATTCTATGATGTCACACATCACCTAGTTTGATATTTGGGCCCGATTCTCAAAGACCTCTGTTTTCACTTACATCATTCCCTCTATCCATGCTTTATTCTTTCATGGCACTTGGAAATAGTTGTTGTCCATCACAGCCGCCTGTAAGTCAGCTTTAGGGTAGGCATAACTGGTGGCTACATCAATCTTTACCGCTGATGTGAAGTGATAGGTAAGATTCCTGAAGTAATCATTTTATCCTGCTCTTGAAGTTGACTGTCCTGGAGTCCTGAAATCGACAGCTTCAGGCTTTGCCCCCAATATATGGGCCTTCTTTGGGTAACCTTATAAAGAAAATAAATGAGTTCATTTATTAAGTATAAAAAATCTTTGTCTTTCGTGCTACTTAAACAAAATATGAGCGTAAGCCTACTCGTACCTACAGTAGTCTACATGTACATAACATGTCAGATTTGACACACACACCTCGACTAATTTTTCATTTTTTCAAGGAAAATAGTTAGCATTCGTGTTTTTCAAGCACTAAATGAAAAGAAAACACATACCTTTCAGTCAATTCACATTTTCATCCAGATGTTATGGCACCACATTCAAGTAAATTGCGTTTGAGTTGGTTCACTGTCAGCGACGCGTGCACACGCTCCATGTTAAACTCTGGTGTAAAGCATTCAAGCGAGATTGTGCGAGACTTTAGAAGGACTGCTTTCACCCCCACGCCATCTAGCGGCATACCCTTAAAGCGGGTATTCCCCATTATAGCCCTAGGGTTCCTCACCAGGGTGCAGATAGATCTGATAGACATGACCAACAGACCTGATGACTTTAAATGGATTCTTCATGCCCAAGTTTGGTTGAAGTCAAAGAAAACAGAACAAGTAACGCAGAAAATCTAGTAAGTATACACTCAGTCTAACTTACCTTTATTTTTCTTTTTTCTTGAAGTTTTGCCTATGGGTGGCACTGTAGTGTTCTCCTCGGTGTGTAATGTAAAAACCTCTGTCAAATTGAAAAATAAATATGATATTACCAGTAATGAAACTATGATAATAACAGGTCCATAGCCAGAGAGGTTTGGGGTGGTTGAACTTACTGCCCTTTTTGCCAGGGAAATTTCTGCTCTGGGTAAAATGTGATGTAGATACTCAAAGATTTCATGTAAAAAAAGGTCCACTTTTTAAGATAAAGAACCCCCCCCCTTTAAAATTGCTGGCTACAGACCTGATAACCAGAAAAGCACTCCGAGAGCGCAGACCTCCGCCAAGGCAGCGATTTTTGATTATTATTGATTGATTATTGATTGGATCACCACTAAACACTAATCATCTCTTCCTTGGCCCACTTCTGACAGTTCCTGAAAATTTCATGGAAATTGGTCCATAACATTTTGAGTTATGTTGATGACAAACAAACAAACAAACAAACAGACAGACAGACAAACAGGGGTTAAAACATAACCTCCTTGGCGGAGCAAGAAATATATAATTATCAAGGCAAACACTTTATTAAAATTAAGTTTTGGGAATGGTGGACAAGACAGCAAAGTTTACAAATATATGAAACAGAAACTTACCTTTATTCTTCTTTTTTCTTGAAGTTTTGTCAGGGTGTGGCTCTATTCTTTCATCACCCGAGTCTAATATTATAACTTCTGTCAAATTACATAAAGATATTAATATCAACACTTGTTAATTATAATGAAATTATAATAACATTAAAATGTAATAATAGCAATGATTATCAAATCAAATACAATTAAAACTGTAGGAATAGTTGAAATAGCAAAGTTGGCAAATACATATAGACACTGTACAGTTAGAGGTTATTCCCACTGTGCTAATTTAGCATAACCGGTGAACATTGGGGAAAATAGTTGTCCGACTTTGCTTCTTTTGCAGAAAGCATGATATTTTAAAACCAGTTTTCTTCTTTTCAATCTTCACATGTACAGGTTCAGTTCTTGTAAAATTAAAGTAAAACTAAAATGAGGTTTAATTGGGGAATGTATGTTAAACAACTCAATTACTTTTTAGGGAAAAAAGTAATCATGCCTCTTATTTAAAATAAGTCTGCTCTATTGTCAAATAAATCTGCCTAGTAAATTTAAAGTAAAAAAAAAGTATGCCTTAGAATTCATGGTGCTTATAATTTCAGACATAAAAACAAACAAAAAGAAGTAGGAGAAATCTGAGTGGGCTGAATTTCAAACAGCACCAGCTTTTTTGTCAAAAAAGCCACTCAGAAAATTTGAAGTAAAATAAAAATGTGGTTTGGCACTTATAGGGTGAACAACTCAAGTTGTACGTTAACAGTGATGGCAACACTTGCCTCAGTTTTCAGCCTTACATGTTATAAATACTTACCCCATTATAAGACACTGAAAACCAAGACAATGGTTAACATTTCAAGTTTGTATGGCATTAGTTAAGGGGTGAAAATCAAGTGGGGCAACTTTTGACTCATTTCTGAAAATGACATCTGAAAATATGACAGACATTTACATGTACATTGGCACTTGAATAACTTTTGATCTAAATAAGATAAATCAAAATTTTTAACGGATTCACATATATGTAGCTATCTGTGTATAGCATTTCTCTAACTTAAGACGAGTCTCTAGTTTAATTTTTAAAAAAATTAGTGTGGACCCTGCCACAAGTCAATGACATCATACACGGTAACATACAAGTACTATATCCCGGATTCCGTGTCAAATGTCTTTACAGCTCTTACCACTAGGTAATATTTCTTGAGCTTTTGTTTTACGTCCTCCCGTTTTTCTTAAATTATACAATTCAGAAGTCGTACTGTCGGCCTCTTCACGGATATTTTTCTTCTTCGGCCGCACCATGTTCACGTCCCAAAAACTCCCGCCACATGTGACGTTTACGTATCTAACAGTACATGTACATGCCAGGAAAAGCTTTAAAAATTTTTTCGAAAATGAACAATGAAAGAAAGATATAGTATAAAAAAAGCTGAACTGGCGGATATCAAAGACAGATTGGAATGTTTAAATAACTTATAGCAATCGTATAGCACGGGAGTGTCTTGTAGTACTGACGCTATTGATATCGATGCTGCATTGTCTCCCATTTTTGGCGCGAAAACTTCATTTCCTTGGCTACTGTAACGGTGTGAAGAAAGGATATTACCGTTGCTGCTACCATATACAGACGAAGATAGAAATGTAACAACAGAATATTTGCTCCTGCAAGTAAAGTACGAAGAAACGTGTGTTAAGATACTTCATGGTATATTACCACTTCATAGGATAAGAATTACTACTTCATGATAGAAGGCGACTTCATTGGTTAAAAAATAAGGACCCTTAGGAGACTTCGTAGTATATTACCACTTCATGGGACATTGTTTCCAAATATGGTTCAGTTGGATGGATGTGGAAATTAGGCGTAAAGGTCGATATGTTGTTTCATTCTAGACCATGATTTCGAGAGTGACGCGTGTATTTGCAATGGGGTGTGTGTGTGTGTGTGTGTGTGTGTGTGTAGGGGGGGGGGGGTGGAGTAACATTACTCACTCACATGATAGTGCGTATTTTATCTCGTTTAATGAAGCTGTTATTTTCAGATGTTCTCGTAGATACCCGTGAGATTAACTTCTATCAATAATGTACTTTATTTCAAGAGCTTCGGTCCTGTAACTGAAAGCATAAAGCTAGTTTTTTGTTTTACCCATTTACAGGTAGTTATGAGATTTCAGGACGATTAAAAACTGACAATATTTGGCATTGAATCATGGCGGGTCTAAGGCACTATATGTATAAGACAAACGAAGTCTATAAATAAACACATTGCCTGCCTTTAAACTAGGACATAAAACTGACCATGTGTGATTTGATTGACAGTGCAGGTTTATAGATGTGGCTAGTACACAGTAGCAGGAATGTATGTCTTTCCATTGTAGGTAGAGAACTCTACTAGGCAGAGAGGTTTTAATTTTGCTCCATATTAGGTGTACATTAATATCTTTAACAAACCGTCTATTCCATTATTCGTGTTATAGAAGTATCTCTTATGTAACTATGACATAAATGTTATGACTTGCAATAACAAGCTGTCAAAATAAGCTTTTCTATTGATAGGCAACATAATTAATATTTCGAGAATATCTCGGTCGTTTAAAAAGATAGACCCCCTGGCCTATATATATACTGACAGTCAATGAAAACGCATTATTTATTTATCAAATAATATTTTAAGTCTCTTTGGCACATTAGAAAATAACAGTTTTCGTGTGAAATATTACCCATTAGGCCACACTGTTTTATTTTTATGGATGACATCCTCTGGTGATCCCAAAATCGGTGTGAGAGGGCGAAAAAAAAAAAAAAACGGTCCAAAAAAAAAAAAACTGCTTAAGTAAGGAAAATCTGTCAGTACACAGCTAGAAACACAAATTTACCACAGAAACACGTATCAAACTAACAATATGTCTTTATCCATGCTCTCAGAATATTAAATTATTATGAACACTATACAGAAATGTTAAAAAAAATATTAATACTATCAAATCTATTAAAGGTTATTTCAGTTGATGCCATTATGTCTACTTCGACACACACGGAGCAGCCAAACTGTCGGGTGGCCTGTCGCTACCTAAGCTCAAGCCCACCAAATACCTCGATGCCCTTGTCGACCTTTTTTTCGCTACAAAAAAACCCTGGCAGGTGTTGCTATGGACAGAATGTCACTGAAATTTTCTGGGCGATAATTGCTGGCCGCCGCCAGCCTTTCGTTTAATTGTAAAAAGGTGATATAGTCACCAAAAAGTCGAAGGACACATGCATATCCCTAATGGCAAGTTTAAATATCTCCAACGTCTCATGTTCCTCACTTTAATGGATAGAGGATAACAGTAACAACGATATAAAAATATATACCCCCCCAAAGAACTGCAAAGTCACACTACTAAAGATCTACGGGTAGAGAGCAGAAATTACGATGTAAAAATTACAATCAACCACCCTATGGGACAACCACACCCCGTACTTCAAACCATTAAGGAATGACTCTCCAGGCAGTAGCGTGCTGTAGTCAATTTACGCTCTTATCTTTCACATTAAAACCAAGTAACAGGGTATCAATTACAAGTGCTCAAGAGAGGTGTAAGCACAAAAGAAATAAGCAATCATGAGCAATATACTTGAGACACAAGGTTACTAAAGCAACTTAACTTTTTCAATTCATCAATTTACTCTGAATAAATATCAATCTACAAGCCTGTTGATCTCGCAGATCTTTTACGTTAATTAGGCTGCTAAACAACAAGTATGCCTAACCCCCCTACGCGTAAATTATGTTTTCATAGCCTGGTATACTTGATCCATTAGTTTTATGTATCAAGCGGATCGGATCTGGGAAGGGAGGGCCCAGGGGGTCTGCACCCCCTTTGCTTCAACGCTGACCATAATCTCCCATAATTTACTGATTTTTAGAAATTCTGGATCCTCATCTACATATGCCTGTGTATTTTAAAATTGCTCAAAACATGCATCCAATACCACTAAAGAAACCCTATTCAGTCATACAAGTAAATTAAAACGTACAGTTTACCCATTTTGGATAATATATATACAGTACAAAAAATTATATTTCAAAAACGTTCTCTCTCATAACGTTGGGCCAACAAGAGGTACTTTTTCACTATTATCCCATGAAGTCGCAGGCAATATCTTATGTGGAGATGAAGTCGCATTTTATCCTATGAAGTCGATTTGACAGTAAAATCAGAGCATTTATCCCATGAAGTGGTAATATACCATGAAGTATCTTAACAAATGTGATCAAACAAAATACGCTATCAGTAATAATCGATATTTGCAGTGCAGTGATATACGAGTTAGTACATGTACATTTGTACAGTACATGACTCTGGGGTACATGTACCCTGTATGCATGTCCCCACTCTTTTATTGAATCTGCGATTTTTAATATTTTCCAACCAAACATCTGATGTCATCTGAAGTTACATTTGTACAGTGTCCTGATTTATTTTTGATATTTGAATCTAAATATTGTCGATGGTGAATGGAATTTGCTGAGAAAGTTATAATATTGTACAGTTTTTAGTAAATGATAATATGACAATTCGGATATGTTGCAGGTTATTATACCCAATAGACTGTAGTGCACAGTACATGTATAAACAGCAGATATACAATGTCCACATCAAAGTTGTCATTGCCTGCCAGAAAACTCCTTGTGCAAGATCTTCAGTACTGCAAACAAGTGAGCCCAGCTACCAAGGACAGTGAACCTGCATCCTGTGTCACATACTGGACCATGTCAACCAATGGGAAGGATGTCTCTTTTGGCATGGTCTGGGTACAGGGGGTTGTCAAACAGGTACTAATGCAGGAAATCTACAATATACATTTAGCACTTTAATTTACCCATGCACATGTAAGGGGATGGGGATACTGTGATTAGGTGCATATCACTTGGCAGACCCAGGACTTTGCTAAAAGAGGGACAAAGATTTTTTGCATAGCTAGCTTGGCAAATATAAAGCAGTTGACTAAGGCAATTTTACCATTCATGAGATAAGAAAACATTATTTTTACTGAAGGCTTTTTCATGTTGAGCACTATATTTTAGCCATATGCTAGCAATGAATACGTAAGCAAATAGAAAACTGGATTCTTCCAACCCCCCAGTTCAGAATAGTGAATGACCAATGTGAGAGCTCCCTCTCCTATGGCGTAGCATTGGCAACAAAAAATCTCAGGTCACATCATTGCACAATTTATTAACTTTCAGACCTAGCAAAAAGTATGCATTTTCATGTTAGTACATGTAGCTCCATGTTTTCATAACAAACACCCAGCTTGTATATTTTGATATTTAAAAAATAGTAGGGTAATCACTGTTCAAGCCATTCTTTCGTAATTGATTCGGTTTCCTTTTAGATTTTTTTATTCGTAAGGTACTTGTTCATGTAGGTATTTCACTCTTTTGCCTGCACACGTACCACCTGATACATTATTTTTAGCCAATATCAGTTCAACCTTCCACTTAGGGAATCTAGCATGATCCTCGATATTTTGCAATAAAAGGGGCTTTTTAAAAGGTTTCTGTCTATTTGTGTCACAGGCTTCAGCAAGGGGTCAGCTAAATAAGAAAGAAGCCTGTCATGAAGCTTTTTAATTAATTGTTTCACAAATGTCTCACTGATTAGTTTACAGCACTAAAATGAATTATTTGTTTCTCTCGGGGTTAGCTATGTTTGATGACTGTCTTTACATTTCAGGTTAGTGAAGAAGGGTTTTGCATGCTAGATGATGGCACTGGAGTTGTAATGATTATTCTTCACAAACTTATTCCCAAGGGATGTTCAAAGGTTGAAACCGGTAAAAATAATTT